TAATTTTCCATTTCTTTAAGTATTAAAATTGCATCCCAAAAGTCACAGCTGAGTCCATCATTGCCTCTTCTCTATATCCTTATAGACTGTTGAAGATCTTTAAACAAAGCGGAGATTCCATTAAGCAAAACCAATTTTCAAACTTCTTTAATCCAAGCCTCGAAGAAAAAAAAAAAAGAGGGGGGGAAAATCCAAAATCTTTCTCTTAAGATTAAATAATAGTGTTTAAAAACAACACTGAAAAACACAGCTCATTAACTATCACTTGGGATTTACAGGTAAAACTGGGAGATCTTAATTCAAGATCTGAAATGGCTGCACAATTCTAAGTGCACATATATGTGTAGGTGAGTGGCTGGATGGGTGTAACCAAAATTATCAACCCAAATCAAATCCCTCGTTACTGATGAGCCACAATCTATCATGCTGGTCCTAAGAGTTACTGGTCCAAAATCACCGAGTCAGCTTCTGGGCCTGAATGTAACTGATGTAATTTGTTTGTGTGCTTGTGTGAGAATGTGTGTATAAATTTTGTAGTATACATATAGCTTCTGTTAAGAATTATTTCCCATTTTCATGCAGAGCTTGAAGATGGCATATGTAGTCCTCCCTTCTACTACTTTCTCCAACAATAGAGCAATATTGTGAGGTAGATTTGTTAAGAAATGACTGCTCCATAGTCAGCCAGTGAATATGGCCAAAGATGGACTAGACCAGGGGTAGGCAACCTCGGCTCTTTTATGACTCATGGACTTCAACTCCCAGAATTCCTGGGAGTTGAAGTCCATGAGTCATAAAAGAGCCGAGGTTGCCTACCCCTGGACTAGACTCTGAATCCATGGTGTCAGTCCAATACCTTAGCCACTACACTACATTGGCTTATCAGTGTAAATATTATCCACTATATTGGTGCAGTGCTACATTCTTCAACTTACATGAAATGAAATCAGATAAGCTATATATAAATGAACATAGCATTCACTCATCCTAATCAAAGTCATAAATTCCAAACTTAGCAGTAAAAAGCAGGCAGGCAGGCGGGCTTACATGGTATTCTCCAATGGCAAAATGACAAGTCGCTAATTGGATTAGAGGTCGTTGATTTTCTAGTGATCCTTGCCCCATAATTTGTTGTGGAGAATGAGATCCTTGCAGAGATGCTAAGTGATGTAAACTGGCAATTGCTTTCTTGTACTGACCCTTTTAAAAGAATAAAAATTAAATCACTAAAAAAATAATGTTCCATTTTATAATGCAATAATTTACAAAAGTTTCAAGATTTCCAGATAGTAACTTTCATACAGAATTTACATACATTAATACTGACAGGTATAGCACACTGCACAAGTATTTAGCTTCACAAAAGTTTTTTTATAGGTCTTAAAAGATCTAAAAAGAGCCTTATAAAGTTGAGGGTATTGTCCTCCTTATAGTCCAGTTTTAGGAAAAAGCTCTGAATTTCACATACTAAATTTATAAATTTATGGAAAAGGCAAGTTTTGAATTAGCAGTTTTATAATTTACCAGCAATTTATATTTTTTGAATATAAAACATCAAAATGCTTTAGATATTTCTTCATTAATTTTTTAAAGAAGGGAATGCTACTTATTATGCTATCTATAATCCCTCCAATTGTAGGAAGTCATAGAAAGAATCTTGGAGAAACATCCAGAAGCATTTAAGACAATAACTAGTGCAAAAGCAGGCATTAAGTCCAGGAAGGTTGGACAGTATTAGAAAGAAACTCAGACTGGCTCCCATTCCCCCCCACACACAGACATCTCCAATTCCCTGGAGTATAATAAGGAGGAAAGGGCAAACACAGGCAGATTTACAAGATTCTGTTTTTAATCTACCTCAATGAAGTATAGTTCCATTCTTCTTTAGGAATTAGTGTCTTACAGAGCTACCTTGTAAAGCTGACACCAATAGACAAATTTGCCTATGAAGATTATAGGGTTACTTAAAATGTTTAGTTAAAACATGTGCTCATTTAAATCAAGATTTCACAAAATGATCAATACTGATAAATGTCTGGAGATCAAAAGGTCAATAAATATCTGCAGATCAATAAATGATAGGTTGATTGGGGTCAATTAATCTTTTGGAAACTCTGGAGAGCTGTACACCTGTTCCTAATTCTGAAGATGAGATGGCTTTTTTGTGAAACTGTTACTCAGAGTTGTATGGTCAATAAATTTTAATAAATTATGGTTGTTCATTGCACAATCAGCCAGTTATTTAGACTGGATTTGGCATTTTTACCCACTTATTCCTTCCCAAGGACCTCAGATAAGCAGACGTTGTTTGATGGTGATGGTATTAAAGTATCAACACAGAATGTAAGCTGTTCCGAGTAAAGCTGCCTTTAATAATTGACAGATGATGATCTTGTCAATGGCAATGGTATTCAAGTGGTGCTTCAGTTGTTTGGGGATTGCATTTAAGGTGCCTATTACTATTGGTACTGCATTTGCTTTCTTTTGTCACAGTCATTTTATTTCTATTTGTAGGTTTTTATATTTTTGTGACTTTCTCTAGTTATCTCTCTTCTATTTTGCTGCCTCCAGCAACTGCCACATCTACAATCCAGACTTTTTTTTTTCTGTTATCTGGAAGGTGCTTGTCTGTTTGAATTCTAAAATCCCTGAGGACTTTTGCTTCTCCATTTTCTATGACTCTGTCTATTTTGTGATTTTACCAGGTCTAGGTTACATGCAAATAGCATTTCTTGCAGATATTCTACTGCGTTTTCCCGAAAATAAGACCCACCCAGAAAATAAACCCTAGCCTGATTTTTTGGGAGGGGCTTTCTTCGATCCCCGCCAGCATGCCCCAGCAGCTCCCTCCTCCTCCACCTGCCGCTTGGGTCCTGCAATGCTGCATCACATTGCATCACACTGCCTATCTACCACCAGCCTCCAGAGGTGCCACCACTGAAACCATACAATACAGACGGCGAATGGGGTGGTAGCCAAGCAGGGAGTGGCCTGCTATGGGGGTCCTGAGGTAAGCTGGTGTGGGGCATGTGGGGCAGCTCCCCTCTACCTGCCTCGCCTCACCTCGTGGTGGCGGCACCAGTACACCACGCGCTTTCCTATCCCATTGCTACCGCGAGCAATCTGACGGGATGGAGTGGGCAGGCGGCCTCAAAGTCAGACATTCCCCCAAAATAAGCCTTGATGGGTCTTTTGGTCCAATATATATATATATATATATATATATATAAGACCCGGTCTTATTTTCAGGAAACACATAGCAATAATTATTGCTAGTTTATTGTGCTGTTGTTAGTAGTCAGTGTATGCAATCTTCTTGCAGCAACTAAGTGGTCCACTGTTTCTTCAGCTTCTTTCCAAAAGTAGTAATAGTAGAAGTATTATTCATTAAATTATTATTATATAATTAATGTCTGGGGGTTGATGAAACTTCATGAAGTGTCAACGAACTGGAGAGTTTGGGATTCTTGATCTAAATGCTTATGAAAGAGGCTTGAGAAATAGATCGTAGGTATGTCTATTTGCTCCTGCACTTTTTACCTGATAGATAATCATATCTGTGAGGAAGATTCTGAACCAAAGCCAGGTTTCTGTCTTCCAAGACACACAAATTCTTGTAAATTCTGTAAAATGAAATGAAGTAGATAAAAACATAAGATAATATCTTTGAAACAGTTCTTCCTGGGTTGTCAGGGGAAATGACATAAGATTTACCAATTTAAATTTGATTATAAACACTTTATATCTAGTTCTGTGAATGTAAATAATTGTCCCAAGTTGTACTAGCTCCTTTGAAAGATCAAAACATTCGATTTTCAAGCAGATTCATAATCAAAAAGGGTACAAATGCTATTGAAACCAATAGCAATACATTTATTTTGAATTTCAGTGAATCATCAGCCCAATAAAAATGTAACAGTGTGTAGGTGTTAATAATAAATAAAATAATTATTCATTTTTAATTTAAGTTTTTCAGCAAGCCTCATTCAAGGAAAGATTAGTAATGCCTACTTCCCTGTCAAAAATCTAAGACCCAGATTCAAAATAAAGAATTAGCTATTATAACAAACTCTCTAAATATGTTTTTCACATTATAGTAAAGTACCTTTATCCAATGATTCCAATGAGTGTAGAAGTTCCCAGCTCTCTCTAGCCAATCTAAAGCTCTCTAGTACTTCAACAGAATTTGGAAGATCTGTTGCATTTATTGTAATGAGCCTATTTTTGCCCTTCCCAGAAGGATCTTCATCATCAGAGCTCTACTCCAAAGAAAAAACATAAAAATCCAAGCAGTAGTCAACTGGATCAAACCAAACTATAAAATCATTTCCCGGAGACAAAAATAATCCACAATAAAAATTTAAGTAATAACCAAAATTAATGATATAGATCTTCCTTGCCACATATAAGTCCATCTTCAAATATGCCATCCCTCAAAATTTTAACCAAAATATCATAAAAATGTGTCAATCTTGAATACGATATCACTCAAAAGTTTTCTATAATTTTCATAATTGGCTTACTCGTGAGTAATCCCATGAATTATCCATTTTTCATATTTTGGTTAAAAAATTGAGGTTCAGCTTATCTATAGATGGACTTATATACAAGTATGTAGGGGATATATAGGTATGATATTGCAATATATACTCATAGATATACCCATTCACAAATGAGTTGAACACATTTTATTTTTGGCACCTAAAGTTCCTGGCTTATTTGAAATTGAAACAGTAATCACCAAAGGCCTTCCAGAAAAGCAAGGTTTTAACTATTCTTCAGACTGCTGTTAACAGTTAGGATTATTTTTGCCTCAGGGAGTAAGGTTTTCTAAAGAAGGGAAGCCAGACACTGAGAATATATCTTGAAGGTTTAAAATTTCTCTTTGGCAAGTGTGCTTTGTGTATCAATCTATATCAGTATTTTGGAAAGAAAATGTTTGGGCAATGTTCCAAACCTACAACACATTACATATTTCTATTAAAAAAAAATAGAGAAAATCACCATTGTTTTCTCTCTTTCAGCAAGTTTCCGTTTCTTGTGAACATGTTTGCTACGTTCAATATCTGTATCACCAAAAACATTGGACACATCCTCGATGAGAATCAATGGAACTTGGTTTGAAGCATTTGATCCTGGGTATAAAATGAAATAATTATTTCTATTTTTCCTGTTATAATTGGTTTATCAAATATATACTTCTCCATACTAAGTCTAGTTATTAATACCACAAATGTTTATGATCAAAATGCAAGTAATATTATATGTTCCTTTGTTTAAATATTTAAACACACTTGAAAGGCTCCATGTTAGGGAATGGTGCCACAAAAAAAATTCAAAATCCCAGTTAGTTGTGACAATAACAGAAGGTAGCTTCTAAAGTTCTGGCACCAAATCTTTTCTGCTCTCACTTCAAAAGGTGAAAAAAAAATATGAAAACCATGAAAACATGCACAGACTATGCCCTTATGTCCAAGACTCACAAAGGAAGAAAAGGTGGATTGTGCTGATACATAGTGCAATTATCACTAGTTAGAACAGTCTAATAATTTCATGTGACATAATTAGATTTTGAGTGTAGTATGTATGTATGTAGTTAAGTGTGGAAAACAGAAAATTATCTCAATGCAAATGCTTCATTTCAAAATGCCAATAACACTATTAAGTTAGACTTCACACAAAAGTAATTCTGGCAAACCTGCCCAAAGGGTTACAGGAAGGGCATCATTTCAACCCACCCTGAAAAAGAGAAGGCTGAATGCTGCTGACATACTGGAATGCATTCTTGAAGAAGACCAGCATTGTGGAATACACTACTTGGGTCTTGTACTTTGCATGAGCTTCATTATCATAGTTACTTATATATCTGCAGACATCTTTCATTTTCAGCAATATGTCACCAAAGCTTCTGAGGATAAAAGAACATTCAGTTATACTGGAATTTATAAGATACAATAAAGTAAAGCACAGTCTAAAAATTTATTTAATAGAAAAATAGAAAACCAATTCCTAAATATTTTCCTTTTACTTTATTCCCCAAAAATCCTATTCTCAAGTTAGGTGATGTTCTGAACAATATAAAACAAGGGAGGCTCATATATGCCAGCTAAAGGTGAGTACAAGTAGTCCTTGAGATTCGACAAGTCACTTAATGGCCATTCAAAGTTAAGACAGATTCCCCCCCAAAGTTACATACAACCGTTTGAAATTAATCGTGACTCCAGAACCCCAGCAGTCATTCGCCCTTATTACCTACCATAGGAATGCTGCAGCACCCCTCTGTCTCCTCATCCCACTCTGAGAGGACCCCACAATGCATGGCCCTGCTTCCCATGCCACCGGAAGCAGTCACCATTTTTAGCACTCTAACAATTTCTTGATGAGTGACTCCAGGCTGAAGAGTAGAGGAAAGGAAAGAAGCAAGCAAAGAAAATTTTTCTGTAGCTTATTTGTAGTTGAGTTGCTGAAGAAAAAATTCCGGTCTAAAGAAAAAGCTACTACTGGATCTAAAGGAAGTCAGAGAGTCAGCAAAAAGTTTGGAAACATTTAGAAAGCTTTTTGCTGCCTGTATGATTGTCTTTAGGACCCAATTTCTGCCATGGCCCTTTGGTGCACATTTGTGCTATAGTCGCTTTTGCTTTTGGACTGAACTTTTTCTTCAGCTCAAAGGGGGGTGGGGGAAATTAAGCAAGGGAAAGGCTAGCAAGAGCCAGGAAAAGATTGCAGTCTCCCCACAGCCAGCTGATCGGGGCAGAGGCCTTACATGCTCAGCTTCATCAGCCAAAAGGCTTGTTTGGAAGCTTCTGGGACATTGGAATGCAGTCCTAGGTCCTAATCTAGCTGATACTTCTCCCCCCCCCCGCCCCCCTCTGGGATGCTGCTTTTGGTTTTGCAAAGCGTTTTGCTCTGGGTCTGCCTCTCAGAACCTCACCCTCCCATGAGGTACCCCATGCTCACTTAACAAGTGTGCATTCTTTTAATGGTGGCACCAGGAAGAGCAGGTGGTGGCATTATTAAGTTGAAGCTATCTCAGCAGCAGTCATTATTTGCGGCCCTAATGAGCAGGCTCCATTATAGTCTAGTTTGAGGACTACCTGTATGGTCCTAAAATAACTTCTGCAATTCCCAAAGGCTTTTCAGGGCACGAGCACTGAAAGTCGATGATATATTTCTCATCATTTTGAGTCAAGAAGAACACAAAAACTTAGTATAAACACATAATTCAAAGAAAAAGGAAAAAAACAGAGCCTTAGAAAATCCCTCCAAGTTTTATTTCAATTTATGTGCCTGACGCAGCATTGCTCATAATGCATTATCACCTCATTTATTATAGCTTTCAACTCTTCAAAAATGTTAAATGCATCTCCTGCCCATCAAAAGATTGTCCGCTTCTCATGAGATTGCTAGAGGAGAATCAATCAGATTTCAGCAGAGATCTGTTTGGTTTGAGGTGATTTCATTCCCCTTGCACTATTAAATTTTCCCTAGTGCCCCCAATCTTTTAGGGGGGGGGAAGTAAATAGCCAAGGAAGTACCTGGTAATATTTCTGATATTTGTCCCAAAGGCAAGTGGACTTTCTATATTTTTTTCTCTTGAAGACGTTTCGCTTCTCATGCAAGAAGCTTCTTCAATTCTGAACTGAAGAAGCTTCTTGGATGAGAAACAAAACATCTTCAAGAGAAAAAACACAGAAAGTGTACTTGCCTTTTGAAAAAGCACATTTGGGACAACCATGATGTGGATGACTGAGAATCTGCATAGACATTTCTGATATTTCCAACATGTGTTTACATTTCTTATCTTAAAACCAAAACATTTCTCTTTAAAACTCCGGACTTATTGTAAAGAAAATACTCTAGTTTTTGGAATATATTTCATTGTAGCAAAATGCCACACAGATAACTTCCAAACAGATATGCAGAAAACTGTATGGAGATTATAGCAATGAAGAAAAAAAATCAATCACAGTCCAACCAAAACAATTATAGAACAGCTTTAAATCATTCTTTCTAAATTCAGAAAGAAAACTTCTAAGGTTTTAGTACTGATATAAATTTTAATTAGAAAACAGCTTTCTTGTTCCCTCAAGAGAAGTCTTAAGAATTGGAACAGTTTTGAAGGTATCTACAACATGTTGTCAATCAAAGTTCCAAACTACAGGTAGTCCTCAAGTTATGACCACAACTGAGCCCACAATTTCTGTTGTTAAATGAGACATTTGTTAAGTGAGTTTTGCCGCATTTTACAACTTTTCTTGCCATAGTTGTTAAGTTAATCACTGGAATTATTTAGTAACATGGCTGTTAAGTGAATTTGGCTTCCCTATTGACTTTGCTTGTCAGAAGGTCACAAAAGGTGATCACATGATCCCAGGATGTTGTGATTGTCATAAATATGAGTCAGTTTCCAACTGTCTGAATTTTGATCACCTGACCATGGAGAAACTACGATGGTCATAAATGTGAAAAATGGTCGTAAATTACTGTTTTCAGTGCTGTTGTAACTTTGAATTGTTGTAAGCCAATGACTACCTGTACTTCCAATACAGGTAGCTCTTCATTAGCAAGCATAAATGGGACTGGCAATTCCATCACTAAGTGAAACAGTCACTAAGTGGGAAATCATATGACTGTATTTTCCTTCTCAAAACTGACAAGACTAATCAGTTTCATGCTTTTTATTTTTGTATGCTTCCTAACCACTCCTCCACCCTTTGAAATGCTTACCTTGGCATTGGGATAATTAACGAGAGTAAATTAATGTTTGCGTTCACATTCATTGGAGAGGAAGGGATTACAAGACATTAATCAGTTACACAATGGGGAATACACATCAAAACCAATGTGCCAGAAGCTATGAGCATGCTATGCTAACATCTCAGCATATTCTTCATTGTGCCTGCTTATTCTCTCGTAATTCTTCCTTGCCAATCTCTCTGCTCTGCAAAGTGGGGGAAAAAGAAAACAGATCGAACACAAGACAACATGTACTGTGATGGAATGTGCAGTTGGAGGAGACGGATCTTGGCAACAGCACTGTGGCTTCCCAGGAAGAGGCAACACATTCCAGAGGGAGGCCCAGAATAAGAGACTGTGCAGTTCTGAACTGGATGGGGAAAGGAGGAAAAGATGCAGAATAGCCACATCGTAGAATCTCCCAGGTATATCTCTTAGGCTAGTAGTTTATAGCCTTAGTCTGCTGAGATATCCATCTATTAGGTGTAAATAAATAAAGAACTCGGCTTGACTTGATTTTAGTGTGTCATCCTTGGACCTCAATCTGACATGTACCGACTGTAATGAATATCATGTCACTGAGGGACATTGCTAAGGTTGAAAAAAAATGTGCTATTCTTTTTATATACAAGTAGTTCTCAATTTATGACAACTGAGCTCAAGTGCTGCTAAATTAGAGAATTGTTAAGTAAATTTTGCTCTATTTTACATTCTTTCTTGCCATAGTTGTTAAGTGAATCACTGGAATTATTAAGTTAGTAATATGGTTGCTAAATGAATCTGGCTTTCCCGTTGACTTTGCTTATAAGAACAGAATAGGCAATCACATGACCCTGGGCCACTGCAACATAAACATGAATAAGTTACCAAGCATCTGAATTTTGATTACGTGATCATGGGGATGCTGCAACGGTCCTAAGTGTGAAAAACAGTTCTAAGTCACTTTTTTCAGTGCTATTGTAACTTTGAATGTTCACTAAATAAACTGTTATAAATCGAGGACTAGCTGTACTGTTCTGCCAAGAAGAATCAGGCCAAAATTCATCAAATGTTAATTAGATATATTTTAAGAAATTAATAATTTTTCAAACCTTCTTGCCACGTCCATCTGCCATTCACATCTCACACCCACTACAGACAGTATTTTGAATATCCTTTCCCAAGGATCTGTAATCTGGCATGATTTCTCAATGACACCTTCAATGATATATTTCTGAGCACTTCGTTTATTAGGGGACACAAGATCAGATGTGTCCTGTGTTCCTAGAAATGAATGAAATCAGTTAATTTATTATTAAAAATTAGCCTCACTCCCAAAAACAACTTTTGCTTCCTATTCCAGCAATGTATACTTATATGAAATACTAATGATGTGCCTCAATGTTTGTTAAGACCAAATGATTGTTCATATTTTGAAAATGATTGCTTTAATTATTGTTTTTATATTTTGGTTTCATTTGATTATTATATGCCACTTTTAGTGGGAAGGATAGCTACATAAATTTAATTAATTAATTAATTAATTAATTAAATCCAATATCAAGAAAAACATGGAGAAGAAAACAACTAAATTCTATAAACATTTTTATCTTTAGTCCTTGAAATCCATAAAGATCTGATTTCCCTATGTGCATTCTTAACTGTTATTTTCATTAATTTAGCTCTGTTATTTTTTGTGTCCCTAAGAACTCTATTCTTAAAGGCATAGTGTTTTTTTTCTGGCAATCATTATTTGAATTGTTCATTATAAAACCCCTTACTGTGGGGGCAAGACAATCTACATATTACAATTATTTTTCATCTCTTTATTTCCTTAATTCCTCCTTCTTTCCTTTGCTATCTCCTCTGTTATATTTAAATTAAAATCTTCTTGAAGCAGAAATTCCATTCTTTATACATAAATATACACTGAGTAATAAAAATCTAGGGATTTTAGACCAATTTTGTCCTGAAAGTATATCAAAAAAAATTTAATTCTTTCTTTTTATATTACTTGCTATATTAAATCTAATGTCTTATTTTGCTTTTAGACAACAGTGATAATTTTTCAAAAGAATGCAAATTTTCTGACTGTCTCTTATTATTGTGGTTTCTAGTTTTAATACTTGGGGATGGGTGGGTGGGAAGGAGAAATTAAAAGATATTAAAAATTAAAAATAAACTACCTAATAGGCTACTGAAGAGTTTAAATCCAATAATCACTAAGAATTGACATCATCCAAATTTCCACTTTATCACAATATTTGAAGATGATAAAGTAGTCAGAGATGAGAGAAATGAAATGATAATTATACTCATGCCCTAATCGTCTTGACTACTGCAACGTGCTCTACATGTGGCAGCCCTTGAAAAGTAACTGGAAGCTTCAACTGGTTCAAAATGCAGCGGCCCACATGGTTTTGTGCAGGTCTATATGTGTGCATGTGCTATCTCTCCTGAGGGAGCTGCAGTGACTGCACATTTGCTTCCAGGTCCAATTCAAGGTGTTAGTTGCCATTTTTAAAGCCCTAGGTTGCTTGGGACCAGGTTATTTGAAGGGTCATCTTTCCCAGTCACATCCATTTGACTGTGTAGGCAAGACATTATATGAGTCCTCTCTCCTAAGTGGGTTCATCTAGCAGAATCAAGAAGGGCCTTCTCTATGATGGCTCCCACTCTGTAAAACATCATCCCCATGGTTATAAGACTGCCCCCCACTTTAAAACTCTTTCACAAGACCCTGAAAACTTGGGTTTTGCCAAAGGCCTGGGGATCCCAGAGTGGGATGGAGCCCATCAAGTGGTTTATTTGATTGTTTGATGTTGTTGTTGCCAGAGTAGGGGGGGGGTATTACTTTTTATTGTTTTTATACTGGGTTTTAATATTTGTAAGCCCCTTAGACTCACCAAGACTGGGATGGGCAGCCATATAAATTTTCTTAAAATACAAAATAAAGTATACCCATGGTAAATAACAGTTCCCAAATTTACATTCTTCCTTACTAGGAGGAGGATCACACAACATAAAAGGTAAGTTTAAAATTAATGTAATGTTATTACTGAGTAACAACATGTCCAGTCTTCTTTTGGTTTAGAAACTGAACAGGAATGGACTCGGATGGAAATTGTGCAGGGAATATCAGGACTATGGGAAAAAGAAAAAGCAACTAGGAAGAAGACAATACAAATCATTTCTATTTTGTTGCCATGAGTCACCAGGAAGTGAACTTAATTTGATATTCAGATGCTGTAGAATCCTAGGCATTATCTTAACCTGCTGTGGAAATGATATCATATAATAATAATAATAATAATAATAATAATAATAATAATAATAGTAGTAGTAGTAGTAGTAGTAGTAGTAGTAGTAGTAGTAGTAGTAGTAAAGTTGGAAGGGACCTTGAAGGTCATCTAGTCCAACCCCCTGCTCAGGCAAGAAACCCTATACCATTTCGGACAAATGGCTGTCCAGTCTCTTCTTAAAAACTTCCAGTGTTGGCGCATTCACCGCTTCTGGAGGCAGGTTGTTCCACTGGTTAATTGTTCTCACTGTCAGGAAGTTTCTCTTTAGTTCTAGATTGCTTCTCTCCTTGATTAGTTTCCACCCGTTGCTTCTTGTCCTGCCTCCAGGCGCTTTGGAAAATAGCTTGACTCCCTCTTCTTTATGGCAGCCCGAGATATTGGAACAACTGCTATCATGTCCCCCCTCGTCCTTCTCTTCATTAAACTAGACATACCCAATTCCAGCAGCCGTTCCTTATATGCTTTAGCCTCCAGTCCCCTAATCATCTTTGTTGCTCTTCTCTGTACTCTTTCTAGAGTCTCATATAAGCCACAGTTTATTTCTTTGAGAGGGATATACAGGTAGTCCTTGGTTAAGAACAATTTATTCAGTGTCTGCTTAAAATTATTGTGGTGCTAAACAAATGGTCCTGAAGTTACAGCCATTACCACCCAGTCACATGATCAAAATTTGGGATCTTGGTAGCTTGCCTGAACTTACAACCACAGGGGAGCTTCAACGCTTTTATCTCCCCACCCCCACCCCATCTCTGCCCTTTTGGCCATCCTGCATGGCAGCACACCCAGTGGCAGTGCTAGGGCTAAAGTAAATGCCCAAGATCTTGAGTAATCTCAGACAGCCACTGTCCTCAGGCACCTATCTCAGCCCAAATGCTGCCATTGCTGCTAGCCACTCCATTGCCACAGTGCAAAAGGCCCCTTTGCCCCAACCACCCTGCACTCTATCAGCCCCTTCCTGAATTATGTAAACATGGCAATACTGATTCATTAAAGATTTTAAGATTCCTAAATAATATTCATATGTTGTATGAATAATGCCACTGTTTTGATATTAATTTCTCTAATTTTCCATTTCTACTTTATTAGTGCATTTTGCTCTAGCATTTTTACCTGGATACTGGTTTTCTGTCAGTGATGATCTAGTCACATAATTAATATAAAATTCTGCAGCTTTATTCAGATACTTGTATAATAGAGTGGAAGGAAGTCGTACATCAGGGTTGTTAATTATTAAGGGCAGAACATCACAAACTGAAAATGATAATGAAATCAAATTAAATTTGTCAGTTTCCTACAACATGTCATTATTTAACAAAGCAATATCTATATTCCTTAAGCAAGGTATTTGCAATTCATTTAAAATAAAGTCAGATTATTTGTCTGTTTCCTGCAACATGTCATTGTTTAACAAAGTAATATCCATATTCCTTAAGCAAGGTATTGCTTAAGGTATTTGCGATTCATTTAAAATAAAGTCCTGCTAACAATAGCTAAAGCTATTAGCTTATTTAAATTAAGCAACAAATGGACACTCTCTCTTCCTTAGGAAGAAGAAAATGATTTTTCAGATATGCTCCTTCTGAAATGTTCATCTATGTTTGCAATTAGCCATCCAGAATCATTGGGAGCAGAGTGGTTTACAACTTCAATCAATCAATCAATTACAGATAGTCCTCAACTTACAATGGCAATTGGAGCTGGAATTTCTGTTGCTAAGTAATGAGGTCATACAGCAAGATCACATTGCTTAGCAAAAGCAATCCCTACAATCCCAATATTATATATCATTATATTACATAATAACCAAATCCCATGATCATTAGGCAAGGCTACTGGCTTCCCACAACCAAAGTTAGTGAGGAAGCCAGAAGGAAATTGCAACTCCCATGCCTGCAGGCAGGTTGGGGAGGGAGGGAAGGAGTGGGCAGGAATTGGTTGGGAAGGGCATACAAGAGTACAAGGGAGAATCAAGGTGTGTAAGATGTATGAGAAGCATGGTGTAGGATGTGTGAAAGCACAAGTCAGAGAGAGTGTGCAAGAGGCAGAATGCAGGTCAGAGAGGGTATGACTGATAGTGAAAAGTGCAGCATGAGGGTGCAAGGGAGCGCACAAGAGGCACAGCATGGGTTGAGGAGGGTATGTAAGAGGCATGGCGCAGGTCAGATGTGTGAGGGGATGAGTGAGAGCGCAGAAAAGCTAAGGAGGATGTGTAGACGGAGAAGATTTACTCCAACAACTTGTGACCTTCCTTTCTGGCTTCTCCACTGATTTTCTATAGGTGCAAATGGGTTGCCAAACTCTCAGAGCATAATCATGTGACCACAGGAATGCTGGGACAGTCAGAACGCCAATGACCAGTTGTAACCATCATTTATTCAGTGCTGTCATAACTTCAGTTGCTGAATAAACATTATTAAGTTGAGGACTACCTGTAGAATTTCTTTCAATATTTTTTTTTTACTACAAATATGTCTGGATCATTATTCCCTATTCCTAAAGAGCTCATAATATAAAAAATAAAGGAGCTTCAAATATAAAAAGTAAATTAAAGTGTTCTTATTATTCCCCATTTCCCCATTGTGATTCTAAATATTTAAATAATATTCATCATTCCCGTTTTATTTTTTATCCCAACTGCACTGTCAGTTGACAAACCAAAGGAAAAAAATGACATAAACGAATGTTCATTTATTCATACAACTCATATACAAACAAATATTTTAAAGATTTCACAACTATATCACAACATTCAATATATAAAATGGTGCAATATCTTGTTATTTTAGTCTTGGAACAAAATTATATTCTTACCAAATAATTTTCTAAAGCAATTAACAGGCGATTCTTGATCTTCAATATTTTCTGCTTCTAACAACGTTTCCCCAAGGCCCACCTTTGCAAAATTTAAAGAAAATCAAACTTGTTTCTTCTTCCTTATACATGTTTTTCATATTGTTTGTAACATATTGCATAAATAAAGGTAACAATTCTTTCCTCAATACTTCAAAAACTAGATTTAGATTTAGATTTTAGATTTTATTAAATTTATACCCCGCCCTTCTCCCGGAGGACTCAGGGCGGCTTACAGCCAGTTTAAAACAGTAATACAATACAAAATTTAAAAAGATTAAAAATAAATATTTAAATTTGGCCGCTTCTACTAAAAATTTAATTTAAAACCCCTTTAAAATACCCCTAGGCCAGTCCTG